AGCACAAACTCCGCCGTTAACTACATAGAACTAGTTTCATTTTTCTAGTTCTCAACAGTTCACTACGGCCAGCATAACCAGCACCATCTGGGTTTAGTGGGTAAACAGACAGGGAGGGAGGGGCGCTCACAGACACACAACAGAGAATCAGAACCCAAAGTCGGCTTTATCTTTGTCACTTATCTTACAATAACCACAAAACCCGACCTTTTGTCTCTAACGCCTAGCGCGTGGCTCAGCCAGTGTGACAATGTAATGCTGCCATTAAGTGGTATCAGTGCATATCGACAGACAACTTTTACAAGTACAGTGGAACCTTGGATTGCGAGTAACCCGGTCTGCAAGTGATTTGCAAGACGAGCAAAATTTTTGATTCGATATACGAGCGAGGTCTTGTGATATGAGTAGTACGTACCGCTTTTGTCTGCCAAGTGTCGCATCACAACTGAGCTGATGGTTCTCGCGCCTTGCTCGTATAAGTCAACATCTGTACTGCAACATGGTGCAAAAGTTTGGGCACCCTACACAATCAGTACTTAGTAACACCTCCTCTGGCAGATATCACAGCTTGCAAACGCTTTTCATAGCCAGCTAAAAGTCTTTCAATTCTTGTACTTGGGATCTTCTCCCATTCTTCCTTGCAAAAGGCTTCTAGTTCTGTAATATTCTTTGGTCGTCTTGCATGCACAGCTCTTTTAAGATCTACCCACAAATTTTCAATGATGTTTAAATCAGGGGACTGTGATGGCCATTCCAAAACCTTCAGCCTGCGTCTCTTGAGGTATTCCATAGTGGATTTCGAGGTATGTTTAGGATCATTGTCCTGTTGTAGAAGCCATCCTCTTTTCAGCTTCAGCTTTTTTACAGATGGTGTGATGTTTGCTTCCAGAATTTGCTGGTATTTAGTGGAATCCATTCTTCCCTCCACCCGTGCAATGTTTCCTGTGCCACTGGCTGGAACACAACCCCCGAGCATGATAGATCCACCCCCATGCTTAATAGTTGGCAAGGTGTTCTTTTCATGAAATGCTGCTCCTTTTTTTCTCCAAACATGCCTTTGCTGATTGTGTCCAAAGAGTTCTATTTTAACTTCATCAGTCCACAGCACTTGTTTCCAAAACGCATCGGGCTTCTGTAGATGTCCTGTTGCATACTTCAGATGTTGGATTTTATGATGGGGACGCAGATACGGTTTTCTTCTGCTGACTCTTCCATGAAGGCCTTGTCTGTGCAAGCATCGCTGCACAGTGGAACGGTGCACCACCACTCCTGAGTCTGCTAAATCTTCCTGGAGGTTTTTTGCAGTCAAATGGGGGTTTTGATTTGTCTTTCTGACCAGCATACGAGCAGTTCTGTTCGAGAGTTTTCTTGGTCTTCCAGATCTCATCTTGACCTCCACAGTTCCCCTGATCTGCCATCTCTTAATTACATTTCTTACTGTGGAAACTGCAAGCTGACAACGCTTTGCTATCTTCTTGTAGCCTTCTCCTGCATTGTGGGCATCAATAACTTTCATTTTCAGGGTCTTACACAGCTGCTTAGAGGAACCCATGGTTGCTGGGTGTCCGCAAGTGTGTGCACAAGGTTTGAAGAGTCAAAGTATTTGTACAGCTTTGAAATTGGCATTTACCAATGACAACTGTTGCTGTGCATCAGATCTAACGAGCTGATTAAGGTCTGATACCTTGTGAGAGACTTTGAGACTCTGGAACTCTTAGAGTGCCCAAACTTTTGCACCATGCCATAATAATGTTTTTATTTTTTATTTTTGTTCAATTTATGGCATAAGAAGTAACTATGCATCACTGTTTGCTGAAAATATTGTGCATTTTTTCCATTTCCAAGAGAAACTGTGTTAACATCTGTTCAAATAAAAAAATCACCAAAATCTGTTATTTATCAAGGGGTGCCTAAACTTTTGCATGAGACTGTATCCCCTCACGCCAGCCACGATTCTTTTCAAAGGTAAAGTGCAGGTTAATTTGTTTTATTTTTACTTTATACTGTATTTTGTATTACTGTAATCATTTTATATGGATAAGTGGTTGTGGAACAAATCATCTGAGTTTCCATTATTTCTTATGGGGAAATTCGCTTTGATATACGAGTGCTTTGAATTACGAGCACATTGCTGGAACGAATTATACTCGCAATCCAAGGTTCCACTGTACTAGAGGGTGGTATGGGACCCATACCGGTATTGGTGCATCCCTAGACAGCGTGTTTGTGACACTTAACATCCGACTACAAGACTTTTGGCTTCAAACTGGTGTCTCATAGATAAAATATAGAACAAAATAGTGTTGAGTGAAATGCTAATTTACACTGTTTTCTATTTCCTATTGTATAAAATATGCTCATCCCTTTCCTTGTGTTAGTCTAATTTGGTGTTTACCAAAGATTGTTAGCTTCATCATCCCAAATATGTTGCAGGTTCACCTCCCAGTTAATATCATCTCAAAGAATTAGTTATCCCACTGTTTTCAGCCCAAGGATTTACAGTGCCTTGCGAAAGTATTCGGCCCCCTTGAACTTTGTGACCTTTTGCCACATTTCAGGCTTCAAACATAAAGATATAAAACTGTAAGTTTTTGTGAAGAATCAACAACAAGTGGGACACAATCATGAAGTGGAACGAAATTTATTGGATATTTCAAACTTTTTTAACAAATAAAAAACTGAAAAATTGGGCGTGCAAAATTATTCAGCCCCTTTACTTTCAGTGCAGCAAACTCTCTCCAGAAGTTCAGTGAGGATCTCTGAATGATCCAATGTTGACCTAAATGACAAAGGATGATAAATAGAATCCACCTGTGTGTAATCAAGTCTCCGTATAAATGCACCTGCACTGTGATAGTCTCAGAGGTCCGTTTAAAGCGCAGAGAGCATCATGAAGAACAAGGAACACACCAGGCAGGTCCGAGATACTGTTGTGGAGAAGTTTAAAGCCGGATTTGGATACAAAAAGATTTCCCAAGCTTTAAACATCCCAAGGAGCACTGTGCAAGCGATAATATTGAAATGGAAGGAGTATCAGACCACTGCAAATCTACCAAGACCTGGCCGTCCCTCTAAACTTTCAGCTCATACAAGGAGAAGACTGATCAGAGATGCAGCCAAGAGGCCCATGATCACTCTGGATGAACTGCAGAGATCTACAGCTGAGGTGGGAGACTCTGTCCATAGGACAACAATCAGTCGTATACTGCACAAATCTGGCCTTTATGGAAGAGTGGCAAGAAGAAAGCCATTTCTTAAAGATATCCATAAAAAGTGTTGTTTAAAGTTTGCCACAAGCCACCTGGGAGACACACCAAACATGTGGAAGAAGGTGCTCTGGTCAGATGAAACCAAAATCGAACTTTTTGGCAACAATGCAAAATGTTATGTTTGGCGTAAAAGCAACACAGCTCATCACCCTGAACACACCATCCCCACTGTCAAACATGGTGGTGGCAGCATCATGGTTTGGGCCTGCTTTTCTTTAGCAGGGACAGGGAAGATGGTTAAACTTGATGGGAAGATGGATGGAGCCAAATACAGGACCATTCTGGAAGGAAACCTGATGGAGTCTGCAAACGACCTGAGACTGGGACGGAGATTTGTCTTCCAACAAGACAATGATTCAAAACATAAAGCAAAATCTACAATGGAATGGTTCACAAATAAACATATCCAGGTGTTAGAATGGCCAAGTCAAAGTCTAGACCTGAATCCAATCGAGAATCTGTGGAAAGAACTGAAAACTGCTGTTCACAAATGCTCTCCATCCAACCTCACTGAGCTCGAGCTGTTTTGCAAGGAGGCATGGGCAAAAATTTCAGTCTCTCGATGTGCAAAACTGATAGAGACATACCCCAAGCGATTTACAGCTGTAATCGCAGCAAAAGGTGGCGCTACAACGTATTAACTTAAGGGGGTTGAATAATTTTGCACGCCCAATTTTTCAGTTTTTTATTTGTTAAAAACGTTTGAAATATCCAATAAATTTCGTTCCACTTCATGATTGTGTCCCACTTGTTGTTGATTCTTCACAAAAAATTACAGTTTTATATCTTTATGTTTGAAGCCTGAAATGTGGCAAAAGGTCGCAAAGTTCAAGGGGGGCGAATACTTTCGCAAGGCACTGTACATTTGGGTACTTGCCAATACCAAGTAACAATGTATTTACTTAATAACACGCAGCATTTCTACTATAAAAATTACAATTACCATGAAAATGCATTGACTTTAGAATCACCTATAATCATGAGATCTTGTTAACTTTCCAGTTGTGACTAAATAAAATACAACTGGAGACTGACATCTAAAAAGTTAATAAAACCGACACAGTCACCACTGTCCAATTAGGGGCGCATAAAGTCAAATTAAATTAAAATTGTAAAATCAAATTCAAAATTAAAATTGTAAATATCTCATTACGAGGCTAGGTTGGATTTTAAAAGTGAATTACCAGGAGCAGCAAAATGTACAGTTAAAGCTAAACTGCCATGGTTCACTACAAGTCTTTTTGTATGGATCAGTGTCCAAAAGCCTATGTCCATGAGATGACTGTTTAGAAAGCCTGCTATGCCCTTACTGTCTGGAGAACCTTTTTCCTGTTTATCAGGGACAACACCAATATGATGTAAATGTGGCAATTTAGCCAAAAGGCTTAATTTTATCTGTAGTCCCTTGACAGGCCAATGTTAAACATCAACATTTAAATGTGGCCAAACTTTAACACAACATGGTCTTATTTTGTCATTTGTATCATGTTCTTGTAATCTGCACTTTACTGAATAAATCATGTTGATCTGTTTCATCAATTTAGAATTTAACTGCCATATTTTCAAGTACATTTCTATGGAAATTAACATCACACACAAACTGAATTTTTATTCCTCAATATTTTACATTCTGTGGAAAGTATTATTGGCCTCCTGACTGTTTCTTATTCAACTAATGTTAACATATCTGGCAGCCCTGAATCAAAGGGAGCCTACTTGAGTTTGTTGGGTTCTTCCTGCGCAGGCTTGCGGAGAAAAGTGGCGTTGGGGTTGGTCAGGTGCTCTCTCACAGACCTCTCTGTGGCACTCTGCTTGGCAGGAGCTGCAGAAGTCTTCTTGGCTGAACGCTTGATTCTCTCCTCCAGCATGCTCATGTCTTTCTCTGACAACTGGAAAGGATGGAGGAAAGATAATGTGAAACTGTACAGAGCAGGTCAGAGTCTTCATACCCTTCAAACAATGACAGTGGTGGGATTTCTAGCTTACATTTCCTATTAGTTTGTAGACTTGGTCACCACAGACATTGTAGACTGCCACCACAGTGTTCAGGGCGGCGTTGCGGACAGATGTGTCCCTGTCACCGATGTGCACAGCAATCTCCTTCAGAGACTTGGCTGGAGTTGGCTGGCATACGTTCATCCCATAACCCTCTATCAAACAACCCAACTCCTCTAGACACTCTGAGGACAGGGAGGAAAACAATAACAAGTTAGAACACTCCCCTTTCCACAGCTGTCCACCAATGAGGCCAGCAGTGGAACAGTTAGAGCACATGTGTCACATCCGGTCTGGCGTACAATTACATCCGGCCCGCGAGATCATTTTATATATCTTTTTTTAATGGCTAGCCCTTAACAATGGCCAAGAGAAAAGTTGATTCTGAAAACAGAGCCTTTCAAAACTAGTGGAAGGCTGAGTATATGTTTACTGACATTGCCGGTAAACCCGTGTGTCTCATTTGTGGAGCTAATGTGGCTGTACTTAAGGAATATAACCTAAGACAGCATTACGAGAAAAAAACATCAGGACAAGCTGAAAAACATTGCCAGCAAGGCTGTAAAGACGGGCCTCAAAGAGCACCAAGATACAGAGAAGGCAGAGGAGAAAGGGGAAGTTCCAGGGGAGGTCTGAGAAGACAAAGGAATTATTATTAAAATGCTGTGGCAGAATGCTTAGAAAAGTTAAGCTTTTAATAAGTAAAGATAATCATAAAATGATTTAAGTGTGTTTTGTTTCAAATAATCATTAGTGAATGTGTTAAATAAAATATGAAATGGTTGTATTGAAAGGATGGGGAAAAGTGATTTTACATCTAACAGAGTGAAAAGTACAGAATCACACAAGAGGAAGTAGACACGCATCCCTAAAATGAGGAACTCCAAAGGTTCGTGTGTGCCTGCCACACAGAGAAGAGAGACACACCATACTGAGGAAGTAACAAAAATGATGTTTCAGGCACAAAAGTAAAGATTTGACTGATACTTGTTTGATCAATGTCTAATCAATGCTAATCCATGTCAGTCAAAGTATTCAAATCAAAGATTTGTTTTACTTTAAGGCATTGATAGTTTTGTGTGAAATCAGTGTGTAATTGTGGTCGTTCTGTTAAAAAGCAATGATGAATTTTGATATTTCAGTCAGATGTGAGTTTCTTGTATTTTTGTTATGTATTCAGATGGTTTAGTTTTCTAGAAAAGAGGAAGTAGAATCCAAGGCCGGATCACAATGGGGCGGAGGCCGGTTACGGGCAGTGGGCTTGGACTGACAGTAAAAAATATGCAATACTTCAGAACAATATGATTTTGCACGCCAAATAAGGTATCAACTGCAAACTGCGGCATCTGGTTGGATGAGAGGACAAAAATCACTGACCAGAACCCTATAAAAACCGAGGCAAAAAGAGGAACGGAGAGTCTCTTCACGGCTGCGGCTGGAGGCTCTGTATGGTTGACCATCTGAATTCCAGGAGACCGAGGACTGCGGAGAGGCAGTCCGGGGAGAGGGCACCCCTCTGGGGGTGCTCCCCCACAGGCACCCGCACG